TACCAGTTCCTTGAAGATGCTTATAAAAACCACAAACAGCACATGGAGAGTATGACCCATCAGCTGCAGGAGAAAAAGAAACTGATTGAAGATGTGTCGAACTCCATTAACAACGGGTATGTATCTCTACATATCCCAGGATTACACTTGTAAAACTGATGACGCTCAGAATTTAAAGAACTGCATTTTCTTCTTTAGCATCACCTCATGAATGAAGCTGCCACAGACAGCGGCTGCTTGATTGACAGCTGGTATAGACAGACTTGAGTTTTCCGGCAGCTGCCACAAACAGCGTAAAGTCAGTGGCAGCCACTATAGATGTTAATAAGTCTCTGGCAGCTACCACAATTTGAGCCGGCCCCAGCTGAATGAAGAAAAAGAGCTGGTCATTTATTGTGATGTTTTGGGTTCAGGGATTAATGCTGCATATTATTTGTTATCAGATGTGATGTATGTCTTGCAGACTTCTTCAGGTTGATCGGAATCGTTCATCTGTTCATGATGAAATAAAGAAGTCCATCTGCAGTTTGATTCTCGAGATAAACAAAAAGGGAAAGATGCTAATGAATCAACTCGAGGTACGATAACAGCTTTTTATTGTATAAAATATCACAATTTATAACAGAACAGTGTTATCTATCAGTTTTAGACCTGTAGCTTGCTGTGGTGTTGTTTCCAGAGGAGCGTGGCTTGCTAGCTCAGTTGACTGTCTTACCCCGAGGCCCAGAGCACATCCCCTCAAGCTGTTTGAACACTGCACATATTCATTAATTCATGTGTTCCAGGCTGTAACAAAGGATCATGAGAGTGTCTTGCGAAAACAACAGGAGGACATTGGCTATCTGTCCCGACACTTGGATCATGTCATCAACTTCACCAAATGGGCCACAGTCAAGAATGGGGGCACGGCCCTTCTGTACTGTAAACGTCTGGTAACGCCTACCGATCATTTATTCCACCCAGCGTCATCTCGTCTTGTTTTCCCCAAAGTGAAACTCAGCTCAGCTCTGAGAGTCTGTTCTGAGTCTATCTTTGCATTTCTAAAAAGAGGGAACATAGCCTTTTATAACACACAAGTGTCCTGCTCTAAAAATTATTAATAACATCCCTTCTGTCGCAGATTCTGTTTCAGATTGGAAACCTCCTGCGGGCAAAATGCAGTACCTCATTTATTCCACAGAGCAATGTGCGTTTCCAATGCCGGTCCTCCTACTGGGCCTCAAATATTGATCTGGGTAAGATGCAGATGTATATTAAATGAATGATATGATGACATAATATGTTCTGATATCATATCATGTGATCCCTTTGGTTCCTCAACCACATTTACTATTTCTGAACAGTTTGAAGAATAGTCTTCATCTTTCTTATGATTGTCTGTTGAAAGTGTCTTTTTTATTTAACTGTCAATGTCAATTAAATGGACGACCGAGGATTACATTTGCTTTGTATCTGGAGGATAGACTATACAAAAATGGACTTTGGGTCTGGAAAGTGAAGCCAATGCACAAGTTCCTGAAACCTTTATTCCCTCAAATGACCAGCAGAGGGCAACTCCATGGTGGAGGAGTTAATGGTCTCAGTAACTTGTTTTAAGTCTTCTTTGAATTGATGTTCATTTTATACATTTTATAGAAAATTAGACCATAGGGTATGGTATGCATTGGCTGTGATTGACAGCCAGAGCTGTTAAATGGGTATGCCAGGTCAGAGGTGTGGGTGGGCGTGCAGTGTCAGTCAGTCCCTCCCCTTACTTCTCCAAATAAGTTTACTTCTGGTTAAAAAAAAAGAAAAAACGAGATGGTGCCGTCAAAATGCCAAACTCAAAGTTTATAAACAGCAGCTCGCAAACCAGTGAGTGACGCCACATGATCTAGAGACTGGAAAGAAGTTTTCCATCAGAAACCAGTCCCCTTTGTATTTCCCAAATGGAATGAGTCTAAATTATTTCCATCACTGCCACTTTTCTTCATGCTTTTTTTCTTCACCACTTCCCACAGATTCTGTGGTTCTCTGTCGTCATTTGGATGAGGGACGCTGAATTGAAGAGAAAGCTCAGAAAGAATGTCAGACAATTACAGCAGCTGCAACTAATTTAAATCTGACAACTGTGTATGAAACAAGAGCTAAATCCATTATTCAGTTATAGAGAATATGTATATTTATATATATAGCATTGCATGTTAAATAAGCCGTGTGAATACATCTTATTGAGTACACTTAAAAATACTTTCAAACAGATTAATTGATAACATGATTGATAGCTAAATAGATTAAAAACATATAATTATCCTTATTTTAATCCTTGCTTATTGCTACTCAAAAACTTCTTTCTGTTACTTTTCCAACCTTCATCTTCGAGTTCTCTGGGTGGGTTTTGTATGTTCATCCCTACTTGTTATGCTTATCCAGCCTGTGTATCTGTGTGTGTGTGTGTGTGTGTGTGTGTCCCTCAGGCTCTTTAGTGATAGAGAGTGTACCAGGCCACCAGCTGGTTGGTTTTCAGGGTATCCCTCATCAGCAGTCCAACCCTGGGCAAGGCCCCTCAGGCTCGCCCCGCGGCTTTGCCCTGGGAGCTCCCCTCAACACACTGGCTCAGCTCCAGATGCAGGTAGACAAGCTGAACCCGCAGGCCCACTGGCAGCCGCAGCCACCTCCTCCACCGTGGACATGGTACCAGAGTGTGCGACTACAACGAACACTCCCAGGGCCCCTGCAAGGGGGCTCTCCCTCCCACAGTATGCCACCTCAACCGGGCCGAAGGTTCATGGTGCCTCCTCCAAACCACAACAGCCCAACGAGCACCTTCCCAAGCCCTGGGTTCACACCCCAGGTTAGTCTGCCTTCTGTGCATGCACATGTGCCTCTGTCCATTTGACAGACAAGCCCTTTTAACAGGCACTGACAGCAGATGGAATTGTCCTGAATAGAGCTGACAGCCTTCACATCCCAGGCAATCTATGTCTTTCCTTGTCATGATGGATTTAAGTTGTGGATAGGCTTATGACGTAAAATCATAAAATAAAACAGTTCAATCTGCAGCGAAGCGGCAGCCAACATGTGACGTGATGTGATGGAGGAAAAACCCAAGTTTCCACGAGAAAGGCGTTGATAATATCTCATCATCCAAGTTGTTTAGTCTAGTTCCCCGGGTGTTTTGTTTCCAACTCTGAACTATAGGCTTATCACAGGACAATGCTGGCTTGTGAAGTGCAAACATAAGTTGTGTCATGCTGATGTGAACAAGCTGCTACAGCTTCATAATGAGCTCTCAAGTGTTCTCTGCAGTGAGGAAATAAAGCAGCATTCTTCAATGTTTGCGTTTACTTAAAAAATGATGAGGATTTTTCCAAAGGGTTCCAATTGTGCTGCAGTGGGTTTTGAGATTGTGTTGTGGCTAGCTTTATATTTCACTTATAGACATTTATGTAGAAATTTCAATATTTAAAAATGAAGAACATCTCCGCTCTTATTAATGTTTGTAGGATGTTACGTTATCATGTAATAGTGCAGCTGCAAGTGCAGAAGAACTAAAATAACAACGTAGTGTTTATGTAATTTTAATGAATAGAAAAAAGTTTCAAATCTCCAATTAATTTTCACACTGTTTTGAAAAAACAAATTAATAGGGACGTGTTGTTTGCTGACTCATAGGTTTCTCATGATTAATCAAAGAAATGGGACTCTCCACCCCCAAAAAGATGAAGAAGATAAGCTGCTGTTTTTAACCCCCCCTCGAAAATAATGGAGCCATAAGATCTGGATCCTTCAATGAGCTGAATAAGAATAAGAAGTCCTTTACTTTGCTACTTAATTATAAAGAAATACTTATTTTTAAAAGTAAAAAAAAAAAATGACTGCTGCAATCTGTACATTTTATTTTCAATTTAGTAACATAGTATATATCCAGTAATATAACTTGAGAGTCATTGAAGTATTTCTCTGTCTCTCCCTCTTTCCTCTGTAGCCTCTGAGGGGGGTGGAAAGCAGCTCCAACCACCAAGCCAGACCCATGGACATGTTTTCCCCCTCACATTTGTACACCCATGGTGCACCACTGCCCATCACCAGCGGCGTGAGCTCGTCTCAGTCACAACAGACAGTGAGTGACAACCACCTCTGACATACCTGAATATTATTATTACATTATTTCTGCTGTGTAGTAAATGACATGCCATGCTGTGTTTAGATTGGCCCAATGTATGTGCCGAATCCAAACCATTCCCAGAGCCTGCCACCGTCTTTTCCACACAGAAATGGTATGTGTGTGTCAGTGTCACATGGTGGCATGCAGACTGCATGTGTCATAGTAAAACAAATAGTAACAAGCAAACATATTTTCAATTCTCTCAAGTGCAAGGACAACAGATTTCCCCAGGGTACACTGCTGCATCCCAAGTGGAGAAACCAGGGTAAGGAGAAACACAAAATCCCAGATTCTCTCTTTCTTTAGATTTGAACACTCCTGCTTCAATATGACCCCCGTCTCTTTGTCTTATTGGCCTCTCCAGTGAATTTGGCTTTATTGTAAGCTGCTCTCACTTTGCTCCCAAGGACTGTTTCCTGGGAGACTCCAGAAACTCATCAGATGCGTGGAGCAGCGGGCTCAGCTGTCAGGAAAAGACGAAGGTCGTCACCAGGGCCCATCATTGTCATCAAAGATGAGCCAGAGGATGACAACAGCTATGTAAGTAGATATTAATATTAATACAGTTCAATGAGTATTCTATATATAGACTTGACTTTTGATAGATCAAACACTTACTGCAGCAACGGTGCATTTTAAATCCACTGGACTGACACACAGAATGGCTTTAGAGGGAGTGTTACAGCCATTTAGTTAGTTATCATAACAATAAACATACCAACTGCTATGCCAGATTATCTGAACCTTACCTTTTGGTGAAACCAAAGGTGAAGTGAAATGTTGTTAATAATTCATAGTTTCTGTCTGCGGGAACAACTATGGGTATTACTCTAGGTCAAAGTAGAACGTAGACTAACTAGGTTGCACAGATGACTTCAATGTTTGCTTTCTTTTTCTCTTCTAAAATAAGTTTGGCAAACTTCAAGGTTTGTTTCAAACCCCTGGTCTTGTGGACTGTTCCATGCTTCATCTGTTCTCTTTTTAGTAAAGCTACCACATTCCCAGATCTCTGCAATCAACTCGATCAGTGCTTCAGTATTATTTCCAATATTTGGTCCTGTGACACGCTGGTGACCTGTCCAGCGTGTATTCTGCCTCTTGCACAGTCGTTGGGGTTAATCCCCTCAGAGAACGTCAAAGGATCAGCGGTATAGATACTTGAAGGATAATGGCTGGATATTATTATCAATATGAATGATGGCCCAAGCGACTAAAACAAATGTGGCCGTGCTATTGACCTTTTTAGCAATCCAGCCACATCACACCGGTGTGTAAAACTAGAATGGTGCTCAGTGGAGCACATACTGTATCATCCCCTAAAATTTCCTCAAACAACACCAAAATCCATGGACACACTCATCATGAATTATTTCATCAAGATCCATGAATTATTCTTTACCTCTTTAGAAATCAATAATAATATTGAAAAACGCCCTCACAATCTCACAATGTTAAAGAAAGGGAACAATAACTCCTGGATCCGCACAATGATCCGGATCTGTATCAAAATTTGATGTCTTCTTCCCTGACCCATACCACATCCCTCTTAAAATTTAGTGATAATCCGCTCAGTAGTTTTTGCTTAATCCGACCAATAAACAAACAAACAGTGATAAAAACATAACCTCCCTGGCAGAGGTAATACAAGAGCCTGGTAATGATTCAGAGCCTGTTTATGCTGTTTGTGTCGTCAGGTACAGAACAACCAAAGAGCCAACCTTCCTGACAGCACAGGGGAACACCCACAAATCAGTGCCCATGGCGGAGGGAACAAGACCCCAACTGTTCCTCAAAGCACAGATGACAAACCCCACAGCCACTCACAGCCTGCGATCAGGCCGCTGGACCAGAGTAAGACTGAAGTTGCACATCACATCCGTTCTCTGGGAGGAGAAGAGCAGGTAGTGCACGATGAAGCACGGCTGGAAGACTCTAATGACGTCTTGTGTGCTGTGTGTCAGAGAGGAGGGGAGCTGCTGTGCTGCGATAAGTGTCCCAAAGTTTTTCACCTCGCTTGCCATGTTCCATCTCTCCTCAAATCTCCCAGGCAAGTTTGGCTGCACGAAGTTTATCCACTGCTCATCTCATGACTTTGTTTTTTATTGTTGTGTTTATTTCAGAATCAATGAATTGTGTTTGTCAAGAAAGACCTTTCAGCTTTTAAGAATGAGGCTGTTTTTCATCTGACAGCAGCATTATTCACTTCACTAATGCGTGTCCCTTTTACTGACTCTCATATTAAGTCTGTGGACTGTCTGCTTTCAGCGGGGGGTGGTTTTGCTCTTTCTGCCGTGACCTGTCGGTGCCTGAGATGGAGTACGACTGTGACAGCAAACCTGAGGCCAAAACAGTAAAGACGGAGCCAGACTCTGAAGGAGGACTTCCCCCTGTGGACAAACGAGTCAGTACGTTTTTAAAATGATCACAGTCCAGTGGATTACAATAAAGATTGTGGAACTATAGGGATTCTAATAAGAGAGTTACAGTCACGCCACGAAAGCAAAAATTATAGTTTGACATTTTTAAATAAGTCACATATCATGTCATGCAGGTTTGTAATTTCCCCTTTCCTTCAAATATAGCTAAATACTAATATTTTGTCTATTCTTATCTAACTTTTGGGGCTTGTTTGTAGGCGTTTGTGACCATTTCAGCTTCCTCTTGCTTCTTCACTGAATAGACTCACTTGAAATCTAACCTTACTCACCTGACCCACCTCTTCCTTGATGCTCAAACATGTCTAAAGGGAATGCAATTGAGTGTTGAGTTTTACTGTTTTCCATCAATTACATTGTGTCTCACAGGACTAACATTAAATGCTAATAGCATTAAAAAAAATCTCAGATTCACAAGATTTTAAGCATCTGAAAAATCTCTTATGTGAAAAATGTTGCTGTGTAATGCTTTGGTTTGACTGCTAAGACTCAGCATCAGGGATGATCCAAAGCAGATACATGGGACATTTAGCTGGGACAAGACAAGATAAAGCTTTATTAGTCCCACAACGGGTACATTTACAATGTTCCAGCAGTAAGGGCAGTTTGGTCAGTAAAGTAATAAGTAGCATTCAAAAACTTAGAAATGTAAGGAAATATAAAAAAATGTAGGAACATATAAATGGAATAAAAACTATATACAGTGTCAACAGAATATGACGCAATAGATTCGACAACTGTATGTGTTTTTCCGTGATTAGTTGACATACATGTATATTAAGTCAGACGTCTTTCTTTCTACCACTACAGAAGTGTGAGAGGCTGCTGCTGCGCTTGTTTTGCAGTGACCCCAGTTCAAACTGTGGAGAGGTTGCCTCCCCCTCGGTGAGTCTGGAAGCATGCCTGACAGCAGATTATGGCACTACAGGATTAGTGTCACATGGAGTTATTGTAACTGTAACTCTAATGACGATAATGTGCAGTATTAACCAGTAAAGACAGAAAAAATATGAATAAGATGTGGAGCGACTTTAATCAAGTAAATATAGAGATTTGTTTTGCTGACACTGACAGAGCATGGACTGTTTATTGCACTAAATGATTAAAATGAACAATTATAGCCTATTAACTGTTCATTGCAATTTAATAGTTTTTTGTCTCTGTTCATGATAAACTTTAACAGAACATTGGGTACACTTCCATAAACCCCTTTGCACAATGCTGACATGTAATAAACCTTGTAAATACATATTCCGAGATATTAATCATTAATATCATCGTACCTCAACGTCTGCCCATAAAATTTTATTCTTTTTTTTTTATCACTCCCCCGCTAAATACTGTAGGTATGTGCTAATAACAGGCTGACTATAAAGGGACCAATGAATCTTTCAACTGTGAAAGAACGACTGGGGGCTGAGCAGAGTGTGTGCTACCAAAGCAGCGCAGAGTTTATATCAGACATCAGGCTCATCATCAGGAATTGCAGACCCTTCAGTGAGGTACAGTGTTTGCAAAAAGCAACTTTTTTTTCTATGTTAATCAAATCTCGACACCTTAAAATAAATCTTTCTTTTCCTGCGTGTCAGGCTGTCACAGAAGGCAGGAGGCTGATGGAGCTGTTTGAGGAGCAGCTCAGGATCATCTTTTCCGACCAAACCTTTCCAGAAATAAAACTGGAGGTGATACCAGACTCTCAAGTGTCATCTCCTCACAACATTTCCCAGCCTGCAAAGCCCCAGCGCACATTTTCCCAGGATACAACAAACTGTCCCAGTGGAGATGATGGAGTCGTATAAGAGCACAAATCTTCTCAAGGGTGTTGTGTACAGTATGCAACAACACTGCTAGCACCAGCTAATGTGTGGTGTATGGAAGTTCATTAAAACATTCATGACACCAAATGAAGCCACTAAATGATGAATTGTCTCAGAAAAAGATCAAGGAATCAGGGCACTACATTTTCTATATTCTGGATTTAACTGTTACAACTGTTGGATTAACACTGAAACTGAATTTAACACAGGGGATGTGACTTCTAGCTGCAAGTACATACAATACAAGCAGCAAACAGAGGTACTTACAGGGTATAACTGACCTTTTATTATCATACCTTATCATGGGCCATGAGTTATTACACTGAGCTAATCAATGGTGTAATCAGGTCGGGTGTGTTTTCCCTGGTACTCATGGCCCAACACCCTGCGTGTCGTTTACATCGTTGAATGAACCCTGAGAGGATGCTGTTGATGAAGCAAATGAGAGGAAGAGATGGTATCAGAGGCAGAACAACAAGTTTGGAAAGCTGCAGGGGTTTTATTGCAACCTCCAAAGACAAGCCCTGTGCCAGGCAATAAAACAAGGGATTGCAGAACGCTGCAGCCAGGATCAGAGGAAAGACCCCAGCTGGGCCCCAAGATGTTAGGGACACACACCCAGGTCTGATCAGCCTGTGGTGGGCCTGTCTTTGAGGAGGGTGTCTTGTGATTAAATGGCCAAAACACCCTATGACACTAAGGTACACAACTGATGATATGTCCCTAACATCTGCTGGTGGTTGCAGGAGACCTTCTAATGTGCAAGGGGGATTTACCATCTTGTCCCATGTTCTAAAAAGCGGTCCATGTGTAAATATAGCTGTGACAGGAGGCAGGATGATGATCGCAGTTTATCTAATGTGGAATAAAATGTGTTACCTTCCACCCCCACCCCTCAGGCTAGTAAAGCCACTGCATAAAGGTAATCAAAGCAGTGTGATAAAAGCACAGGCTGTTTGAGATGTTACACTGTCACACATAACTATACAGTATTGGTCTGATTTGTTTTTTTCAATGGAGCAGAACTGCAAATGTAATGATTTAATGCTA